TGTGTGTGTGTGTACGCATATGATTATATAATATATATATATATATATATATATATATATATATATGTATTATATGTATATATTATATATATATATATATATATATATATATATATAATATATATATATATGTGTGTGTGTGTGTGTTGTGTGTGTGTGTGTGTGTGTGTGTGTGTGTGTGTGTGTGTGTGTGTGTACACACACACACACACACACACACACACATATATATATATATATATATAATATATTATATATATATATGTATATATATATATGTATATATATATATATTAATATATATATATATATGTATATAATATATATATATATATATATATATATATATATATATATATATATATATATAATATATATATATATATATATATATATATGCATGTATGTATCGGAATGAGTTGATTTGCATATTCATTTCGTCTATAACACGAGGATAAACATTTATCACATGTACTCAGAGTAACAATGTGCCATAAATCAGAAATGTAAGGCAACTTGTCTATTCAACTGGAAATAATAGATTTACACATACGTTGATACTGAGTTCATCTCTACATTTCCGCAAACTAAATCTTTTCGTCATTGATGAATATGAAATAAGAATAACAATTTCAATTACTTCCCAGTTAATCCATAATTTTCCTTGTGAGGAATGTAAAGGGCGATGAACTATGAAGATTTATCATTTATTTTTTTACGGAAACAGCTGTAAATAATAAAAATAAAAATGATAAGTATAGCTCACCTGAAATTCACAAAAGATACATGTTCTTTTTTATGACAACTGCCCATGTTTATTGACGCACACGTAACAGCAACATGAAACATGAACGGAATAATCATAGTGTTCGCACATCTGCTGTATATGTACATGCAGATATATACATGCTGACATTTGCATGGGATTTCGCACGTGTTTTGTACATAGTCTGATGCCTTACGGGAAATCCTTAAGAAGTCAGAAAAACACCAGAAAATGACCTGGAAAAAAGACGAAGTCAGAGAGTCCAGTATTTACCCTCTCATTAACGCCAAGAACTCAGGTGTTTATCTTTTCCCGGAGGATTAATCTAGCCAGTAAATTTAGCCAATAGCGGCCGATGAACGGGCGTAAATTGCCTTTAACTATGTAATAATCTGAACCGTTACAATGCGCAGTGAGCAGCGGTGCCCGTTGACGGTGTTAATAAATGTCTTTTTTATATTGATGGAAATGGTAGCGTGGGAAAATTTAAGGTTTTATGAAAAAATCTAGTTGATCATGTTTTAGATGCGCATATAAGAGACAGGTAATGCTCACGAAGGGTCGTAAGAAAATCCACTCAGGATAAATTAAATATACCCCTTTATTGATTAAATAATTGCCACACAGGTGTGCACAACTGCAGAATTTAACTTATTTATATGTCGGTTGAGATGCCGTACCGTTCAAAGGGATGCCGATCCATCTGCTGCGCTGCCGCCTCCGCTGGTTCCCAAATCACGTCTTTCTTCTCTCTGCGCCTCGACCTCTGATCCAGCAAGATCACCCCGACCTCGCCTTGCCTGCGCCGTGCTAGAGGCTGGCTCAGAATTCCAGGTGAACCATCTCGGGCGGTAGTTAAGAGGTCACCGGGATAGTGGAAGGGGTCGATTGTGAGGTCAACGCTGTGAGATCCCCGTGATTGTAATCTCTCTTGCTGCAACTACACCTCGATATGAAGAAGAGACATGAGGTCTGTTTCTGGCGCGGATTGAGACGAATTCGAGGATTATGGAGGGAAGAATTATTTGAAAGTGGACAGGTCATTCGGAGGGGTTCGCTAGTGTGAAGTCTTGGGTACTTAACGGAAGTATATATATATACACAGGTAGTTTTGTGTGTTCTCAGTCACTTTCGAATGAGCATTCAAATACGCAGTTACGCGCATTAACACACTCACACACGCACTTTCAAACATTTTTATTAAGGTAATATCATTGAGAGAGAGAAGAAAAAACGGAGAAACAAACAGCCAAAGCAATTTATTCGGACATGGCAACGACCCGAAAGGCAGCCAAGTTTACCTCAACTTTGGAATATTCATTAAAAAAATCGTAACACGCCTCATACCCCCTCCTATCTTCACGGTTAACGATAATCCTCTTCCGCGCCATAAAGATACTATATTTAGTGGATTGTAAAGGAATATTGCTGAATAAAAGGGAGAATAACAGATAACTTCCACTCGGAGAATCTCGTTTTAAACATGACCGATCTCTGAGCCTTCCCCAATCGCCTGAAAAAAACGAGATATATTGTGCATTCAAATTACTTGTCGACGAAATACGAGACAAATAACGTTTTTATTTCAATAGGAATGGAATATTTTCATGCTATATTTAATGAATGAGAGGACGCCAGACTGTTCTAAATTAGGATTTAAAGCAGGATTAACTATTTACGTTTGGATTATTTTTTTACAGAAAAGTTGTTATTGTTTATGTGATGAAACCCTTTGTAAAGATGATACTAAAATTAACGCATGATTATATTAAGCAATATATTATATGACTTCAAAGTGATTATGAATGTGACAGTAATGAACATCTTAATCAGAATTGAGTTGATGATAAAATATATGACAATGAATGAAATGCTTATGAAGGTGATGGAGAATAGGATGAATGTAGAATCAGTGATAATAACAGCCAAAGTAACTAGAATCATATGATTTTTCATCCTGAAATAGAGTGCGAGTAATAATGATAAGGATATTGATACTGATATTGACGGCGAAAAGGATGATTACGATGATGAAAATGATGATGACAATGATACTGACAATGTTAATGATGATGATGGTGATGATGATTATGATGGTGATGATGATTATGATGATGATGATGATGATGATGATGATAAAGCAATAATAATAATGATAATAATAATAATAATAAGGGTCATAATGAAGATAACGATAATGAAAATGACAACAATGATAACAGTTAGATAGTATTAAAACTGTTAATGGTGACAATGGCATATTACTACTTCTGGTAAGAACCATAATCACAACTAACAGTGATGGCAATAATGCTATTGTTCTTTAACCCGAGAAATTTTCCAGGGATTGCAGGTTTTTGATAACTGTGAAACCATTTTCACCCTGAAACACATCATGAAGCGGTACATAACCAGGAAATAAAAAGCGAACAAGGTTAACTACGAGGTATATGTATGAGCAAATATCTACTTAATTTATATCTTATGAGGACTCGAGCCGAACACCGAGATAGTCTTATGTGATATGCAATATTTAATATTTGCTCGACGCAGAAGAGTGAGAGAGTCCAAACTTTAATCTAAAAGAATTTGTAAAAGGTAAAGAAAGAAAGAAAGAAAGAAAGGAGGAAAAAGAAAACCACGTGAGCTTCAATAATTAGAGCAAAAGTACGACGTCAAAAAAAGATGAAAATGTCATCATCAGATCAATGTGATTCCTTTTGATTGATTGATAAATTGTTTTCAACTATTTTAAAGATGTAATGTACCCTTGACATTCTGGAGATACAATGTTAGTATATACTTTGAACACGAATCTTTCTCTGCATATATTCTTACGAATCTTCTGTCTTCCTTTTTACTGACTTTTCGTTCATTCATTTTTATATACTCATTCCCTCCTCTTTCCCTATTTATCTATTTATGCACTATATTTACCTCAATGTACCGATCTATCTCTCTTCTTCTTTTCCTTCTTTCTAGCAAAATGATCTATAGTGAAGATCACATTACCTTTGTCATCTAATTACGAATCATTTAATCATAAACGTAAATGTAACCTGATTAAGTAATAAGGAAATACCCCATTATCCAGTCTTCACACCTTCGCCCTTTGATAAAATTTCTTTACAAACTATCTTCAGAAACACAAACAAACTTACATTATCTTATCTCCCAAGGAAACCGGCGAACCGTATTCATTGTGGCAAATGTATATAAATGAATGAGAACGAATA